GAAAAATGTTCATTTTTTGAGCAGAGGGACGAAAATGCTCTGTGGTGTAAGAACGAAAGCAGCTATATTGCATGTAGTTGTTAAATCAAAAAAAAAAAAAAAAAACAAAGAGGAGGGGTGTAGTTATGAATTCATAATATTTTAATTAAAATTACACAATATTTATTTAGTTTGATTGATATTTTATTATTTTATAATTTTTTAAAAATAATTAGTTATAATGTTTGAAAATATAATATATAAATTAATTTTAATTTATTAAATAATAAATATCAGTTATTTTTAATAATTAAATTAAACAAAATCAATAATTTTAAAATTATTATTTTGTGACCTTAATATTTTGCAGTTTGACCATAACCAAACCCGTTTAAGAGCATATTAATTTAATTGTTTTAGCTTTTTATAATCAACAATTAACTGCTGGCTCCCAATAAATGCATTAATATTTTTGCTTATTGAAAACATTAAAGTTTTGAGATTATTCATTTCCTTTTCAAATTATTTAACTTTAAATATTAAGAAAAGTATGTTATAGGTTGTTCTTTAAAAATTTTTTTAGAGGATTTGTTTAAAAATTAATTTTCTTAATGAATATTTTTAAAAATCAATCTTTAAATTGAAAGTCTTCCTCATATAGATCACAAATATTAATTTTTAACTTGATTTAATAGAATTAAAAAGTTTGCTGATTATACGAAATTTAACGCCCTTAAATACATCTCAGTAAATCGAGTTTATTTTATTAAAATTTTATCAATGTTTTTATTGGTAAGAAAATTTTCTTAATGTTAGATAAATATAAAAATTAACATACATAATTTATAAAACTAAAACTTCTAATTCAACATTTGATTTTTAAATATATTAATTAAACAGTGAGATTTTATATAAATTTTTCAAAAAAAAATTAATTATAAAAAACCTACAATACCCTCACCCCTTAAATATTAACTGCGGATGAGATCAAATCAAGCAATCTAAACACTTCTTAAATTATTACTTTAATTTGAATATTGAAACATGAAAGTTTGTTGTAGACACATAAATGGCTATGATTAAGCCCACACAAAATATTAATAAGGCCACATAAACTATATTTGTGTTGACACACAAATATTAGTAAGGCCACATAAACTATATTTGTGTTGACACACAAATATTAGTAAGGCCACATAAACTATATTTGTTTTGACCGTTAAGATTAGTTAATAATTGTAATTATTAGTTAATAACTAATCAAATAATTAATATTTATTATTTAATGTTTCAAATTAATATATAAATTGATATTTTTGATACTTTAATCAATTATAAATTGTTAAAATCAAATAATCAAATATAATTATAAAATTAATAATATCATAATTATAATATTTCATGGTATTATAAATTTATAATATAATATATTATTATATAATTGATAATTTTTATTAAATAATTCATTTATAATATTATATATATCTATTCATTTAATATCATGTTATACTTAATTAATGTCATCTCTTACCGATAACTAGGGCTTCTCCTACTTTATGGCAAGGACCTTGCTTCGGCACATCTCCTTGCCAGAAGGACCTCCCTTTTCCTCTCTCAATTCTCCTTTTGCATGGCTTAGTTTAGAATTTTGACTTCGGCAGAGGGTTTTGCTCAGTGTATAAATATTAATTGTCTTAAAAGTTATTAACTACTTTTAATTAATAATCAAATTATGATAAAATATAACAATTTTGATAACTTTATTAACAAATTTAATGGTGACTGTTAAATACTTAAATCTGACAAAATTAGATTTAATTTGAAAATTTAAACTAACTTATTTGCTATGGTTAGAGTCATGAATCTAACATATAATTTGAAATTTGATATGAATCAGATTAAAATCACCTAAATCTAATTAGATTAAATTAGAGCCAGGTCAAATCGATTCTAAGTGACCTAATTAAAATTAATTAATTTTTAAATTTTAAAATGTTAATTAATTATACCTTTAACTTTAAGTTTTAAATATAAAATAAAATTAAATATTATAAAATAACTAGTTATTATAAACCAATCTTTTCAATATTAATATAAAATAAAAAAAAACTGTTAAATAAACAATTTAAATGAATGGTATATTAACTGTTCATTATTAATATTAATATTGAAAAGATTGGTTTATTCTTAGGTAGATGAAGAGGTAAGATCTTTTTTTTTTCAACATATTCATTAGTAATATTTAAGACTATTCATCTTTTGGTAGATGAAGAAGGAAAAAACTAATGAAAGTTAGAACTTTAATAGTCAAGTAACTTACATATTAATTAATAATATTTAAATCGTTAAAATGATTTATTGTTTTCATGGATTTAATTTCATGCTCTTGGCTATAAATGCCAACGGGAATGGGGTGGGGATAGTGTGGTGGGGTAAATATAAAATGTTATCCTCCCCTATTTAATGCATAGGGTAGCATTTTATATGCTTAAAATAAAATATCTATTCATATTGAGAAAATGTAATCCAAGCAAATATATCCTATAATCAAAATTTGGATTTAAGAAAATCTCTAAAACAAAACATAGTGAGAAAACTTTCTCATAAGCATAGAAACTTTAAATAGTAGACACTTGACCCTTTAAGTTTTAACTTCCATTAGTTTTTTCTTTTTTCATGTAAAGAAAGTAATAAATTTATTAATAAAAAATAATAATATGGCAATTAAAAACGTCCAATCATGAATGGTATATTATAAAATTTATTTGTCTTAGCAATTGAAAATAATTTAAATGAATGATATATTAATTGTTCATTATTAATATTAATATTGAAAAGATTGGTTTATTCTTAGGTAAATGAAGAAGGAAAAAACTAATGAAAGTTAGAGCTTTTAAGATTAAGTAACTTACATATTAATTAATAATATTTAAGTTGCTAATGATTAGTTGTTTTCATTGATTTAATTTTAGGCTATTGGCTATAAATGCCAATGAGAATGGGTGGGGCAGTTGTAGGTTATGGTCACCGTATCTTATAGAAAAGTGGGAAATCTCCCTCGTATAGCACAGCTGTTTGTACTTATTTGCGGAAGATACAGAA